CGAGTAGTACATATAGGCAAGATGAAAGGTGCACCACCAAAATAGAACATTATATAACTACACTAATCTACACTACAGGCAGTTACAAAACAATATATAGAAATATATATTATTCTTGACACGCCCCCATAAGTGCCTGTAGGGAAGAATATGCAGTCAACGCCCCCATAATGGGGTACACCAAGCAGAGTGCAGTTGAAGTAGCAGCAGTAGGCAGGAGCAGTGACAACCAGTGCAGAAAACAGAGAACAGAAGGGAGAGAGGAGAGAGAGAGGAGAGGAGGTGGTAGGCTCTGGTTGGTCACCCCCTACATCCCCTCAACCTCCCCCTCCCCCTCCCCATCCCCCTCACACTGCTGCAGGAGCAGCAGAGGGGGGGGGGGGGGGGGGGGGGTAAACGGAGGAGAATGGGGCCGTAGGGCCAGGGGACCACACATCACCCATCACCCCCACACCCGCCACCCCCAGTCCCTCCCCGGGCTCCCCCACACTCCCACACCCTCCCCCCCAGCGGCAGCTGCAGCAGAGGGAACAAAAGGAGGAGGAGAAGAGGGGGGGGGGGGGGGGGGCGACGCACGGCCTCCCCGGGCGCCAAAGCAAGCGGCAGAGGGGGCGACGACTGCCCCCCCCTTTCAGGTCACCCCTCCCGTCACCTGTCAAGGCGACCTGAGGGGGCTGCGTGCGGCCCCCGAAGGAGCCGCGACAGGTGACGGGAAGAAAGGGGGGGGGGGGTGCACGTGCCCCCGGTGTGCCGTAGCTGGTGACGAGGCATGGCCGGGACGGGGTCGGGACCGCAGGTGTAGGAGACGGGCGGCTCACGGGCGGGCGGGTGGCTCGCGGACGGGCGGCTCAGAGGCGGCGGCTCACGGGCGGGCGGCGCATGGGCGGGCGGCCCACGGGTGGCGCCGGCTCACGGGCGGGCGGCTCACGGGCGGGCGGCGCACGGGCGGGCGGCTCACGGATGGGCGGCGCACGGGCGGCGCCAGCGGCTCACGGGCAGGCTGGTGGCGCACGGGCGGGCGGCTCACGGGCGGCGCCGGCTCACGGTCGGGCTGCGCGCGGGTGGCGTCGGCTCACGGACGGGCGGCGCACAGGCGGTCGGCGCACGGGCGGGCCACTGGCGGCTCACGGGCGGCGGCTCACGGGCGGCGGCTTCGCAGACGTCGGCGCACGGGCGGCGAGGCCGCAGTGAAGGGCGGCGAGACCGCGACGTAGGGCGGCGGGGCCGCGACAGTAGAGAGGCGGCGAGGCCGCGACAGTAGGTCGGCGGGGCCGCTTAAGAAGGGCGGCGGGGCCGCGAGAGTAGGGCACACCACGGGGCGTGCAGAACACTTAGTAGCAGCGGAAGCAGGAGTCCAGGAGCGTTACGTGCTCTGTACCATGTCAAAAGCTTAGCTAGGCTAAAGGAGCCATAGCTAGTTGAGTTCGAGTAAGTTGAGTAGAGTCGAGAGAATTGAAAAGAGAAGAAGGGTTTTCACTATAGAGCGAGCAGTACATATAGGCAAGATGAAAGGTGCACCACCAAAACAGAACATTATATAACTACACTAATCTACACTACAGGCAGTTACAAAACAATATATAGAAATATATATTATTCTTGACAGACTAGGTGGTAGAGAGTGAGCCAGAGCGGGGGAGGGTTCTTGGCAAGAAACTCATCGGGCATGGCGGCACGGAAGCGGGCCTCACTAGTACGGAGGTGCGTGATGAGGTCAGCGACTGTGTGGAACGAGGCCAGGTCGGGAAACAGGTAGGGGAGTGAGAGACGGCCTAGCGCGGCAGAGGCAGGTGAGGAGTAGCGGGCAACGACAGCGGTGTACAGTGCCTGTGCAGTCTTGTGCTGGCCAAAGTGCTCGCGCTCGTCTATCGGCAGGGAGTTGCGAATAGCGAAGCGAGCGTGGGCGTTACGAGTCTGCCACTGTGAGCGGGCAGTGCTGCCAGCAGTAGCAGCAGGAGCAGTAGCATGGCCTAGGGCGTGATCGTACAGTGAGATGTCCTCCTTGGCAGTGAGCTGTAGGAAGAGGTGTAGGTCATCTAGCCAGGTATCGAACTTCACTGGGCGGCCCTCAGCATCGAAAGCTAGCACAGGAGGGCTAGCCATAGCAGCAGTAGAGTAGCAGTAGAGTAGCAGTAGTAGCAGTAGGTGCACCCTAAAAACAGTAGGCAGGGCGACTCAGGTAGGGCGGCTCGGTCCAGTACGGGCGGCGCGGCTCGGTTCAGGTAGGGCGGCTCGGCTCGGGTAGGGCGGCGCGGCTGGGTTCAGGCGGCGCGGCCCGGTTCGGGCTGGGCGGCTCGGTTCGGGCGGCTCGGTTCGGGCGGCTCGGTTCGGGCTGGGCGGCTCGGTTCGGGCTGCTCGGTTCGGGCGGCTCGTTCTGGCGGGGCCGTGGGTGTCGCGACGGGGTGCTAAGGGGCGGCGCGCGGGTCGAGAGGGGGCCGACGGGGCCGCTAAGGGGCAAATGGGGCCGACGGGGCCTCTAAGGGGGGTCGCGCGTGGGGTCGACGGGGCCAGCGGGGCCGCTAAGGGGCGGCTCGTGGGGTCGACGGGGCCGGCTGGGACCTCTAAGGGGGGGCGACGCGCGGGGTCGACGGGGCCAGCGGGGCCGCTAAGGGGCGGCACGTGGGGTCGACGGGGCCGACGGGGCCACTAAGGGGTGGGCGCGCGAGGCAAACGGGGCCGACGGGGCCTCTAAGCGGGGCCAGCGGGGCCTCTAAGGGGCGGCGCGCGGGGTGGACGGGGCCTCTAAGGGGCGGCACGCGGGTCGCTAAGAGGGGGCGGGTCGCGGGTCGCGGGGCCTTAGGGGGCCGTGAAAAACGAGGCGCACAAGGGCGCTAGGGGGGAGGCGCTCGAGGGCGCTCCGACAGTAGGGCGCACGAGGGCGCTAGTAGGCAGCAGTAGTGGTGGGTCCTAGGAATCTAGCGGAGGACCTGCTCTGATTCCATGTTATGAAGAAGAAGTGATTGCACTATGAAAGTTGGAGTGCAAGTAGGAAACCCTAACTTTGTGTACCCCCTAAAGGCTAACCCACTATAGCCTACACAATAATAACACATACAGTGTTTGACAGATGGGGTAACCTTTTAGTACGGAGTTGAAAGTCCCTCCTCCAACCCTCCAATTCGCATTTCCAGGGTTACCTTTTTCATTCTTCCAGGTGTACATGAGGTGCTCGCTGCGCACCAAACTGCAATTGTGACGCAGCGCGCGGAGGACACATGTGGACGTATTTCAAGTTCAACGGGCGGGAAGCTCGAGTCAAAAAAACAAGAACAAAAACATATCGACCAGAAATTCTGTTTCTGGAAAACGCTAGAACATCATCCACCCGCACAAAATACCACACACACACACCTGAAAATCCGACACGCCACCGAACCGGACTGAAAAAAAAAGGACGGGGGAGGGAGATACACGCACCGCTTGACCAATGTGCAAACGCGCGATGCCAAAACCCACCTCCGAGCTTGAATCTGCGCCACGCCTCACCACGCCTCTGACCAACCTGTAAACGCGCGATGCCAAACCCTACCTCGGAGGTTGAATCTGTGCCACGCCTCACCACCTCAGCCTGTCACGCTCAAAGATTTCAGCGATTCATGCTGATGCGCTGTACAGCAATCACGCCGAGGCTGACCAATCAGAATAGCTCGCGTCGTCGTGCCGATCGAATGAATGTTGTAGGGGCAAGACTAAACCAATCAGTATTAGGGTGCAAAATTGTGAGGTACCCGCCAGCACAGCAAGGGAGTGCCTCAGTGCCTGAATGTCGAGTGGTGGAATACTCGATAAAAGATGCAAGGGAGTGCCTGAATCTCGAGTGGTGGAATACTCGATAAAGATGCTTGATAAATTCCTAGAGTTACAATAGGAACACATCTTTATTATTTACCTCTCCTTGCAGTACTTAGGCGATGATCAAGGGAATTATTTAACATCAAGGTGTTTGGAAAACCCCATCAGTACATGGGCACAGTACAAAGGTTTCAGGTCGTTGTCGCGCCTACTTCAATAGAATTTAAATACATTATTAACAAAAATATCGTCACCCACTGGAACTACATGGGCGACTCGCAGGATATTGTCCACGTCAAGTACGTGGTACTCATTCTCGCCATCCTCCCATGTCATGAGCGGGCAATGAGAAATGTGAGTGTCACCGGTGGCCTTGTAGAAGCGCACAAAGGCTAACTCCTTTTGTTCCACCTCCCTCGTTTGTGGAACAAACGCATCGAGAACAAACAGCAGTAGCAGTCGAGCATGCCAAATGACTTTCTTGCTCGACCGCTCACCACCGCGAGTGACAACCTCCTCCTCACCCAGGATTGCTACATCATTAAACCATGGCCTACCCCCGAAGGAAGAACAAGCGCGCACATAGTGAGATTGACTAGAGTATTTCGGGAAATCTTCGTCCCCCGCTATCGCCATCCCCTTCTTTATGCGCAGCTGGGTACTTAGAACCTGACCATCACTCTCCATGGTCTCCAAAATCTGCTGCAACTTAGACATGTCACCTAGAGCTTCTCGGATGTGTTCAGCCCATGCCGAACACTGTGGATCGGCTTCTTTCCAATTCACCTTGAAAGACGTGCTTGCAAGCGTGTTCTTTCCAGTATCAATGGCCTGCAATGCGAAGGAGGATATAATGAGCTCATCCACATCATTATGAAAGGAGATCGAACATGGTTGAGCATATGTGGTAGATTATTCAGTATGCTGCACACACCTGCTGCAGGGCGACCATTCGTTGTGCTCCATCCTCTGCCTTGTCATCAGCTGCACTTAAAATACGTAGCATCTGTGCCCAAACAGTGTGCTTCACAATCTGGGGCATAGCATCCCGCTTGTTTGTTCCACGGTATGCTCGTTTCACGAGAGGTTGGTGCAAATATTCAAACATGTTGGCGTTGTAATGAACGGGCACACCGGAACGACGAATGTCATCAACGACATGTGCGAATGAATGAACTTTGGTGATATTGAACTCCGAAGCTTGAGCATCACCAAACACCTCCTTCAAGAGTGGGATTAGCCTGTGTGCAAACAACAAACAGATTCAAGATAGGGAGCGAAACAGGGCACCAGTGTGAAGGCGGATGGAGCTGCAGGGAGGAATAGCAAGGGAGGGGGGAGCTGCAGGGAGGAGTAGCAAGGAAGGGGGGAGCTGCAGGGAGGAATAGCAAGGAAGGGGGGAGCTGCAGGGAGGAGTAGCAAGGGAGGGGGGAGCTGCAGGGAGGAGTAGCAAGGGAGGGGGGAGCTGCAAGGAGGAGTAGCAAGGAAGGGGGGAGCTGCAGGGAGGAGTAGCAAGGGAGGGGGGAGCTGCAGGGAGGAGTAGCAAGGGAGGGGGGAGCTGCAAGGAGGAGTAGCAAGGAAGGGGGGAGCTGCAGGGAGGAGTAGCAAGGGAGGGGGGAGCTGCAGGGAGGAATAGCAAGGGAGGGGGGAGCTGCAAGGAGGAGTATCAAGGAAGGGGGGAGCTGCAGGGAGGAGTAGCAAGGAAGGGGGGAGCTGCAGGGAGGAATAGCAAGGAAGGGGGGAGCTGCAGGGAGGAGTAGCAAGGAAGGGGGGAGCTGCAGGGAGGAATAGCAAGGGGGGAGCTGCAGGGAGGAGTAGCAAGGGAGGGGGGAGCTGCAGGGAGGAGAAGCAAGGGAGGGGGGAGCTGCAAGGAGGAGTAGCAAGGAAGGGGGGAGCTGCAGGGAGGAGTAGCAAGGAAGGGGGGAGCTGCAGGGAGGAGTAGCACAGGAGGGGGGAGCTGCAGGGAGGAGTAGCAAGGAAGGGGGGAGCTGCAGGGAGGAATAGCAAGGAAAGGGGGAGCTGCAGGGAGGAGTATCAAGGGAGGGGGGAGCTGCAGGGAGGAGCAGCAAGGGAGGGGGGAGCTGCAAGGAGGAGTAGCAAGGAAGGGGGGAGCTGCAGGGAGGAGTAGCAAGGAAGGGGGGAGCTGCAGGGAGGAGTAGCAAGGAAGGGGGGAGCTGCAGGGAGGAGTAGCAAGGAAGGGGGGAGCTGCAGGGAGGAGTAGCACGGGAGGGGGGAGCGGTGTCGAGGAATAGCGAGTGAGGAGGGAGCTGCAGTGGGTGAGGAGAGGGAGGATGATGGGCTGGGCAGGGAGAAGTTGCCAGGGAGTAAGTGGGAGCTGCATGGAAGTAGGCGTGGAGAGAAGAGATAGGCAAGTAGGGAGTGAGAAAAAGGGAGAGGGCGAAGCAAGATGGGATGAGAGGGTGGAGGAGGGATCAACAGAGAGGGATGGAGAGGTATGGTTTGAGAGATGAGGGTGAAGGATAGAGTAGTAGGGACTGACCGATGAAGGAAGCAGAGAGAGGGTGGTGGACATGGAGGGTGAGACAAACATGGAGTGGTGGGTCGTAATCAAGAAAGGATAAGGGTGAAACCAGGGTGGAGAGATTGGGAGAAGAAACAAACAGGCGAGGCTTTGGAAATGGGTCGTTACTTTTTGATGGCACTGTCGAGCTCGGACAATGTGCCGTCGGTGTGATACCATCTTCGGCATGTCAGCATGTAGCAGTCCACAAATGCTGCGACTGCATCGGCAATCTTTTGATCCACAATACCGGCAAGCACGATGGTTGCGACCTGCATCACGGCGCGGTGCTCGAAAGCCTGGAACTTCGCAGAACTGGCAAAATAGCCGCCTTTATCCCGCTTTGGAATACGGAATCCCGAGATGCGGGTTGCATCACCCAGATCCTGCAGTGCCTTGTCAAGAGCCTTCAGCACTTTCGTGTCGTCCTTGTACATGACTCGAATGCATGACACGATGTGCATGAAGATGCCAAGGTCTAGCGCGTGCATGACTTCCACAAGCAGTGCTCGGTAGGGATTTCCGACCTCACTCCCTCCCAAGTTAAAACCCCAAATGGCAGCCTACACAAAAGGAGGGTTCAAAATTGATCAAACGATTTGCACAATGACTCACACACAAATTATGGCCTGAAGAGTGATGGAGATGGGGTGATGAGCGAGAGGGATGGGGTGGGGAGTGAGGAGGATGGAGTGATGAGCGAGAGGGATGGGGTGGGGAGTGAGGAGGGATGAGTTGGATGAGTGAGAGAGATTGTTTGGCGAATGCATGAAAATACTTTGCAATGCATACAAGCACATAATGTGGACAACTATAGGTGCTGCGGTACACAGACATCCCCTAAAAGCACTCACTCTGACTGGGTGGGTGCTGATAGCTTTTGAAGCATCAGTTCTTGCAGTCGGGGTAGTGATGGCCAGCAACTCTTCCACCTTTGCTCGTTGGTCCGTCTCAGTTCGGTAAACTAAGGGGACTTGCATGTTGCTGATGTCCTCTATCTTTACCAAGCATTTGTGGCACGGGAATTTTGCTTTATGACTTGCAAAAGTGCCGGCGTGTTTGCAAGCCTCAGGTTGATCCGCCACGATAGCATATACGAACGGATACACAACGTACTCAGCTCCGTATGGGTCTTTTACAATCATCCCCCTGTTTTGAAATAGGGGCAGCACCCGAAATACCGGGCATGATGGGCTGATGAGTGAGGGGGATGGGGTGATGAGTGACTGAAATGGAGTGATGGGTGATTAATGGGGTGATGAGTGCGAGAGATGGGGTGAAACCGTGAGGGAGATGGGGCGATGAGTGAGGGAGATGGGGTGAAACCGTGAGGGAGATGGGGCGATGAGTGAGGGAGATGGGGTGAAACTGTGAGGGAGATGGGGCGATGAGTGAGGGAGATGGGGTGATGTGTGACTGAAATGGGGTGATGGGTGACTGAAATGGGGTGATGAGTGCGAGAGATGGGGTGAAACCGTGAGGGAGATGGGGCGATGAGTGAGGGAGATGGGGTGATGAGTGAGGGAGATGGGGTGATGTGTGAGGGAGATGGGGTGATGTGTGACTGAAATGGGGTGATGGGTGACTAAAATGGGGTGATGAGTGCGAGAGATGGGGTGAAACCGTGAGGGAAATGGGGCGATGAGTGAGGGAGATGGGGTGAAACCGTGAGGGAGATGGGGTGATGAGTGAGGGAGATGGGGTGATGTGTGACTGAAATGGCATGATGGGTGACTGAAATGAGGTGATGAGTGCGAGAGATGGGGTGAAACCGTGAGGGAGATGGGGCGATGAGTGAGGGAGATGGGGTGATGTGTGACTGAAATGGGGTGATGGGTGACTGAAATGGGGTGATGAGTGAGGGAGATGGGGTGAAACCGTGAGGGAGATGGGGCGATGAGTGAGGGAGATGGGGTGATGTGTGACTGAAATGGGGTGATGAGTGCGAGAGATGGGGTGAAACCGTGAGGGAGATGGGGCGATGAGTGAGGGAGATGGGGTGATGAGTGAGGGAGATGGGGTGATGAGTGAGGGAGATGGGGTGATGAGTGAGGGAGATGGGGTGATGAGTGAGGGAGATGGGGTGATGAGTGAGGGAGATGGGGTGATGAGTGAGGGAAATGAGATGATGAGTCAGAGAGGTGGGGTGATAAGTGAGAGAGATGGGATGAAGAGGGAGTGAAGTGGGTTCAAGAGTGACTTATAATGGAGGAGACGTTCTAATGGGGGGGGGGGGGGGGGAACATGGGGAAATGAGTGAGTGGGATGGGCTGAACCCGAAAGTACTTGGGATGAGGGTAATATGCTTACAGAATTTGCAGACAGAGGTTTAAATCAGGGCTGAAACTTACTCATGAGAGGCTTTCTTGAGGTCTTCGAGAACATGCTCCATTGCCTTGTGAAACACATCTCGCCGAAACTTTTTTCCAGCCTCTGTTTTGGCATCCACGCCGGTGAGAGGGGGCAGCATAGCTACCTTCCGGTGCCCGTGCGGCTGCCATCTGTTCTTCACCGAAATACTTCCAAGGGTGCAGTATACGGGATGCCCAACTACTCGCCCATCATTGCTCAGGTTGGTTGCATCACTATAGATGATTACCAGTACAGCTAGCGCTCCTATTGGAACCTTGGATTGCCATTCAATCCAGCAGTTTCCCGTTTCTGGCCCTGCATAAATGCGCTGACCATCCCGAGTGTAAAGCGCTTGAGGCCTGTGAACAAAGGCCAAATGATTTTCGCGGTCGGAAAACATAGATTCCACAGCCTTCGCTAGAGAAGTAACGTACAGAGTCGCACTAACATCGGTCCCCAAACTGACATCTATAGCCTCCCACTCCTGTATCCCGGTCATCTCAGCCAACATCTTCTTCTCGTACTTCTCCAAGGCAGCTCTGTTCTTGAAAGAAGGTTTTACAAAACGGCGATCATGCATGACTGCTAGAATCAAGTTGGTATCATGCGTGGAAAGGCCCATACCTCCGTTGCACTTATTGAAAGCGAGCATCAAGGCCTTGTCTGGATCGTACCTCTCCTCCTCTGGTTCTACCAGCTTCTCCACACCCACGAAAGCGTTTCTAAGCGGTATCTCCTCTTCTTCCCCCACACTAGGAAATTGGAACGTCGCAGCTGGTGTAGGAGCACGAGTGGCCCTCTCTTCATTTCTCGCCGTGTTTCGCAAGGACTCCGAATTGGCGGCTCCATCGGAACGGTGTTGGCGTACATACTCGAACACTTCCTCATCAATACTCTCATCATGCCTGCTGCGTTTCCTACATGCTTGCTGATGGTTCTCCAATCCTCTTCCACTCTTAAACGGTCGTCCGCAACCGCAGGTGAACACCATCAAGAGAATAAGAAATCGAATAATTGATTCATTAGTATAGGTACAAGCAGGATCCGAAGGATGCTGAACACCATCTACAACAACGCCCGATCAGGCTTGAGTGCTCTACCTAACAATTGCGTCTAGAAAGAACACCCTAAGATGCCGAAATGTCTTGAGCAACGGTTGACCAAAGCTCCTGCATAAAGGAAACCGAGAAAACTATATCAGACTATGTAGTCGTCCCTTGAAAGAAAGCGGGAAATATGGAAAAACATGATCTCTAGATAAGCTGAGCCACAATGTAATGAACCTACAGTGTGTCAGCGCCAAGATAGGACTAACGGCTGGAGCTCTAACCTAAAAACCTAGACTTATACGAAGATGTTGGAACATGTTGGCTGAAGTCAGAACAAGGCACAGAGTGAGAGCGTGTTTGTCACTGCTGTTCAAACTAGATTACGAGTCTGGTTACCTGAAACTGTGACGCTCAACCTAACTGTGACTGAGCGAAAGCGTATTTCAGTCAACTCAGCCCTGGGTTTTGATCGCGCCCTAAACCCCCGTGTCAGAACGTCACAATTTTCCAGTGTGCGAACTGTGAACCACGCAAGCGACGCCCCGAGCCTGCAGGTAACGGTTCGTTAATGCCTTTTCTGCTTGATTCTGATTTCGGCAGATTTCGCGGGAGTTCAAGGCGTCGTCAACACACCGCGCTTCTCACCCGTTCGTTGAATAGCCAATCAAGTACTTCCAACGTTTATTGTCGCGCCTCTTCCAGTCACAATTTCACCGCTCGTCAGTTTTTTTCAATTCGGTTTCGCTTAGTTTAGAAGAAAACCAATCACATGTGCGCATCATGTTACACTCGTGTGTGTACAGTCACAGCCTCACCCCCCGTCCTTTCGTGCCTGAACTTTGAGAGAATTTCTCCAGACCCGGAAATGGTGATTTGCCGTTGCACACGTAGCCTTGAATTGCTACCGTGGTCGGACAATTCGATGATAATTGCTCGAGTGGTCTTGCCAGAGGTTTCCTCTGGCATTTTTTTTATCCGGCACATTGTGAAAGTTTAGAAGAGAGAAGAGGGATTGCACTAGCAAGAAGGGGGATACAAATAGCAAACCCTAGAAGGGTTGTACTCGCTATAGAGCACCCCACTACAGGCTAGAGCATAAGATAACATTCTGACACACCCCCATAGCCAAAGTGGGGTGTAATCAGCAGAGCAAACAAAGCAGTACAAGCTCAGGGTGGATCACAATGTCACCACACATTCTGAGCACAAGTTCAAGAAGCAATAGTTTAAAGTTCACAATTATGAGCAAAGCTAGTGGTAGTCACAACGGGCAAGTGAGGAGGAGGAGAGAGAGTGAGAGGAGAGGAGATAGGAGGCGACGGCTGAAGCTGCAGACACACGGGCAACAGGAGGCAGACTGGCACAGCGGCTACCGGGCGAAGTCCCCGGAATACTGGAGTAACTGGCCCCGCGGCTAAAGTAGCGGCAGACGAGCAACGGACCCACGGGCGGCTGGCACAGCTGGCTACGACTGGGCTACCGGGCGAAGCCCCCGGAATACAGGTGCTGCTGACGACACGACGGCAACCTCCATGCAGCTTCCCCAAACTATCCAACTCCCCCTGGCACACACCCGCTGCTACACCGCTAGCTCCACTCCCCCTTCACCCCCCCTTAATACCACTCCACCGGCTCCAACACATCCACCCCCCCTCAGCGGCAGCTGCAGCACAGGGAGACGGAGGAGGAGGAGGAGCGGGGGAGACCACACACCCGCCACCCCGGCCCCCTCAGGTCGCCTCGACAGGCGACGGGAAAAGGGGGGGGGGGGAGGCGGTGCCGTAGGTAGGGCGACGGGGCCGGGGCCGAGGCGCAGGTAGGGCGACGGGGCGCAGGTAGGGCGACGGGCCGACCACGGGCCTGGTAGGGTCGCCCAAACCGCGCGCAGGTGGCCCGAGCCGCGCGCGGGGCTGGCGCCGCCTGTACGGGCCCCGCGCGGGTCTGGCGCAGCCCGTAGGGGCCGCGTGTCGCCTGTACGGGCCGCGCTCAGGCCACGACGGGCGACGGGGGGCGACGAACGGGTCCCCGTCGCCCGTCGCGGCGCCGCCCAAGGGCGACGCGCCGGTCGACGGGGTAGAAGGCCGCCGCGCGCCTCGGGGCGCACAGCGGGCAGAGAACCGCCGCGCGCCTCGGGGCGCATGGCGGGCAGAAAACCGCCGCGCGCCTCGGGGCGCACGGCGGGAAGAAAAATGCCGCACGCCACGGGGCGTGCGGCTCAGAGGGTAGTTGCAGTAGTAGCAGCGGAAGCGAGAAGGTGGTAAGCCCACCCACAGGATCGATCCAAGGGGATCGACCTGCTCTGATAGCATGTGAAAGTTTAGAAGAGAGAAGAGGGATTGCACTAGCAAGAAGGGGGATACAAATAGCAAACCCTAGAAGGGTTGTACTCGCTATAGAGCACCCCACTACAGGCTAGAGCATAAGATAACATTCTGACACACATTACCCAAAACCGGTTTTTAGCCCTGAAATTCTTACGTCGAACTTGTCTCTTCCTGCGAAAGTGTGACGCACCCGGAAAGACGTGCACAAGGGCGGCGCCGTCACTGTTCAGATATGCGACAAAATCGGCACGGTAATCTAGGCAAACAGTTGCGCTCAATTTCGGTCCATATCGTAACCAATCCGCGCATAGTTATATGATTCCCCGATCATATACTCAGTTGCACAGATGTCAGTACGCGCGACCAATTACAGAGTGCGCTTGATTGGTCGACTTTATGCGTGGGGCCTTTTCTGACCTTGCGCGTCCAATCAGACGCGGTCATGTAAAATTGCGCTCATATAAAACCGCATATTTACCTATATGAGCGCGCATATGTGATGCTCGAATGTGTGTATGATCTGTTTTATTAATATAAAACTATATTAATAAATTTGAGAGACGTTATCACTACCAGCGTTTTGCCATTATACCTATATCAAACTGTGCATACCTATATCGCGCAGCGTGATATATGTATAATGGCAAAATGTCGGCAGTGATAATGTCTCTCAAATTTATTAATATAGTTTTGTATTAGTAAAATAGATCATACACACATTCGAGCATCACATATGCGCGCTCATATAGGTAAATATGCGGTTTTATATGAGCGCGATCTTACATGATCGCGTCTGATTGGACGTGCTAGGTCAGAAAAGGCCTCGCGCATAAATTCGACCAATCAGGCGCACTCTGTAATTGGTCGCGCGTACTGACATCCGTCCAACTGAATATATGATCGTAGAATCATATAACTATGCGCGGATTGGTTACAATATGGACCGAAATTGAGCGCAACTGTTTGCCTAGATGAGTGTGCTGATTTTTGTCGCGTATCCGAATAGTGACGTTGTCGCCCTCGTGCACGTCTTTCTGGGTACGCCACACTTTTGCGGGAAGAGACACGCTCAACGTAAGAATTTCAGGGCTAAAAACCGGCTTTGGGTAATGTGCCGGATAAAAAAAATGCCAGAGGAAACCTCTGGCAAGACCACTCGAGCAATTATCATCGAATTGTCCGACCACGGTAGCAATTCGAGGCCACGTGTGCAACGGCAAATCACCGTTTCGGGGTCTGGAGAAATTCTCTCCTGAACTTTTTCAATCGCGCTGCTATTGTCCACGTGTCAACCAGGTTTCCGATGGAGCAACTACCAGAATGTATAACCGAGGGTTTGACGGTCAGCAGATTGCAAAATTGGCCAATTCTCGATTCCGAGGCAACACAATCTACGATTTACCGCCTGGCTATCATCAGCCCCCCCCCCCCCCCCCCCCCCCCAAAAGTTGGGATGTCCTACGCGATGACGTAAACAGCAGCGACGTTGCAATGCCTTAACGTCGTCTCCGCCTATCACCCGAAGTTTGTTGGGATAAGGATAAGACAATGGTATAAATCCTGACGTACGATCCGTCTCTTCTGAAGCAGCAACTTATCCGTGGTATCCGCCTTTGCTTGAAATCGGATCCATTGTAACCGCTAGGATACCACATCAGTTCTCCACGACTTGCACCGTCCTAACTACACCAGGCTTAGATTGGCAATCATAGCTATCGGTGACGACTGATGTCCTGTCAGCAAACGTAACTCTAGTGCAGGTACGTGAGAGTTCTAGAGGCTGGTGTGATCAGTAGCTTACATAACTGGAACTGGAAAGAAGGTGAAGATTGCTGGTGAGGAGAAGCTTGGGCTGATCCTGCCAACCGAGGAGAAACCAGGGTGACGTTCCCCGTCAACACTCTCAACTGGAAGGCGGGAGAGCGGCTGAAATTTGACTTCTTTCGTTCCATGCCAATTTGATTCCTGGCCTGCGAAACCTGGGCATGTGAGCAAGCAGGAGCCCAGAAGGAGTGAGGTTCGGATCATCAGCGCGAAGCAGGGATTGGCTGGCCGAAGCAGATGCCGTGTCAGTAGTCATAGTGCAAGTTTGAATATTTCGGAGGGAAATTGGCGGCTCGGGAGAGAGACTATACGAGGTTCGGACGGACGATGGAGAATGGCGCACACGGACGATGAAGAGGTATGAAAATTTATCCGCGACAAGTAGCCTACGAGCCAACACAAGCACAATGGAACTAGTATTCCTGTTACATCATATAAATCCACGATCATAGATATATCAGACATGTGATTGGGAGCTTAGTTGTCATATTGTATTGTACAGCTCTTAGCATCATGGCATGGTATAAAACACTTACAGAGCTATCAATATGTCTCACAAAGTGCAAGGTTGGCACAAATCGTTCGCATTAGTCCGAGCGAAACAACAGTAGACTAGGAACGGTATTATTAATCGCGCATCCCTGTCCCTCTCAAGCACCAGACCAGAGTCCAGCAGTGATGGCAAATCTTTCCACCTCGACCTCCAGCAATCACGATCGTTTGTGCTCGACTTAAATCTGCCACAGTGTTGACCGAAGGCCTAGCATTTGCCATTGCCACACCCAAACCAACCATATGTGGCATCTCAATGCCATTCTTACCTGCCCGATACACATTCGCTCACACATGTACACACACAGTACACACAACCACACACACTCACAAGATACTCACAGTCACTCGCTTGTACTCGCTCACACTCAGTCACTCACTCAGACTCACTCTTACACATTTCTGCTCACTGCTCACAATCAGACTCTCACTCTCCCAATCCATCAATCACCCTCACTCACACTTACACACTGTAAACCGTATGCACACGCATACACATTCATACACACATACACACACACGCACACATTCCCATACACACCCATGCACACACTCAAACTCACATTCAATCACCAACGCAGACTCCCATTGTACGCATTCCAATGGAAAAATCCGTCCGATTTCCTCGCACTCACCCACCCAAGGGGTCACAAACATGAGCATCTTGCTCTCATGCAACAGGTGGCATCAGCCCCATAGGGCTCATCATGTGCCACCAGACATGAGCATCTTGCTCTCATGCAACAGGTGGCATCAGCCCCATAGGGCTCATCATGTGCCACCAGACATGAGCATCTTGCTCTCATGCAACAGGTGGCATCAGCCCCATAGGGCTCATCATGTGCCACCAAACATGAGCATCTTGCTCTCATGCAACAGGTGGCATCAGCCCCATAGGGCTCATCATGTGCCACCAAACATGAGCATCTTGCTCTCATGCAACAGGTGGCATCAGCCCCATAGGGCTCATCATGTGCCACCAAACATGAGCATCTTGCTCTCATGCAACAGGTGGCATCAGCCCCATAGGGCACATCATGTGCCACCAAGCATGAGCATCTTGCTCTCATGCAACAGGTGGCATCAGCCCCATAGGGCTCATCATGTGCCACCAAACATGAGCATCTTGCCCTCATGAGACAGAGGGAAGTGACAAAGGAAAGATACAGAGAGGACACAAGGAGAGGAAAACAGAGTTTGTGACAGTGAAGGAAACAGGAGGATGAAACAGAGGAGGCGATAGAGGGTTGAAAACAGAGAGGGGGAAACAGAGAGGGGACAGAGGCAGAAAACGGAGAGAGAGGTAGCAGGGGAGGATAAAGAGGTAGAAAAACACGAGGGAGGGAACTGAGGGAAGGAACTAAGGGAAAGAACTGAGAGAGGGAACCGAGGGAGGGAACCGAGGGAGGGAACTGAGGGAGGGAACTGAGGGAGAGAACTGAGGGAGGGAACTGAGGGAAGGAGCTGAGGGAAGGAATTGAGGGAGGGAACTGATTGAAGGAACTGAGGGAGGGAACTGAGAGAGGGAACTGAGGGAAGGAACTGAGGGAAGGAGCAGAGGGAAGGTAGAGGGGGAAGGTAGAGAGGGAAGCGAACAGAGAGAGGTGACAGAGGGAGGATACAGAGGGAAGCAAGCACCCCAACTTCACCTGCCAGCAGTAGGAGCAGCAGACAGCCCACCCCCTTTCGGAAACACCATCCGCAGAAGTTGTGCTTTGTCGGGCGAGGTGTGGCAGTGAAAAATCGCTTCCAGCCCAAGACTCAAATCCCGCCCCTGACGTAGCTAGAGCTGACGCGAACCAGAGCCGCCGGCCGGTCGGCTCTGACGGTGTCCATTAAGCCTTAAACGCCAGATTGGGAACCTGAGCACCGAGTGCCGTGCCGCGGAGATTCCACCCACCACACCCCACCCCACAAGGCACAGCTCCTGAGAATGCTGCCCCTCAGGAAGTGAACTCCCTGCTTGCTCCCATGCTTCCCCCCACCCACCCCACACTTCGCCCCCATGCCTGCGTACCTGTACCTACCAGAGCCATGCAGAGCGCCATGATGGTGAGGCTGCTGGAAAGTGGGGAGTGGGGGATTAGGGGAGGGCGGGACTTCACTGTGGTCCAGGCAGGGTGCTGCTGGGAGGGAAGGGAGAAGGGAGAGAGGAGGAGGTGAGTCAAAGTGTGGACTCCACTCTCCCGCCCTTGCTCCAGTGCTCCCACCCTCAGGCTGCAATGGAGAGGGGGAAGAGAGAGAAAGAGGAGCGGATCAGAATACCATACCTCACCTGTTACATACCTCACCTGTTACCATACCACACCTGATACCACACCTCCCGACAGCTTCACCAAGCCTAGACTGCCCTCTAGCCCCCCAGCCCCCACTGCTGCTACTGCTGCTGCCTTGGCCGCTTCTGCTGCTGCAACTGCTGCTGCCGATCTGCTACTCTGCTTCGCTGATTCTGCTGCTGTAGTCTTCTCGTGATGCCAAGTGACCTGGTGGTGGGCAGAAATGGGAGGTGAGGGACACGAGGGGAGGGGCAGGAGGAACTGGTGAGTTGGCGTGAACAGAAACAGAAGAGCACTAGAGTGGAAAAGAACGAGAATGCAGAAATCAAGGGAGAGCTACTGCAGCAAGTGAACTTGAGAAGGGGAGAGGTGAGCTAAGGCGTGAGGTAACGCACCTTGAGGGGCCAAACCCATCCCGATACTCTCCCTAGCAGCACCATTTCAGTCCGCTGCAGTGCTGCCTCCTCCCCATCCCCGTGGGTACCTGCATGGCCACAAGGGGAGGGGTGCGGGGGAGTGGCGGTGTTGACCCCCACGCCCCTCCCCTCCACCTGCAATGGCCCACGGAGAAAGAGTGAGTGACTGGTGGAGAGGCGAGGGGTGAAGGAGGAGGGCAGATGCACAACAAGCAAGAGGGGAGGGGTCCTCTGGTTCAGCCTCAGCTACAAGCCACACACCAAGGGGGGAAAATACCAAGGGGGGGTTCTACCAAGGGGGGGTTATATCAAGGGGGGGTTATACCAAGGGGGGGTTATACCAAGGGGGGGTTATACCAAGGGGGGGTAGACCAAGGGGGGTGTACCTGCTATACCGGGGGGAGGGGGAGGAGGGGGGGTATACCCAAGAAAAAGGGACTGAGGCTTGAAGCATTGGCTCAACCAGAGGCATGCACTTGAAGAGACGAGAGACAGGCGCAGCAGCAAGGGCGAACATGGAAAGCAAACGAACTCAAGAGGGAGAACTGGGATAAGAACAGCAGGGCAGGGACTTAGCTGGGTGAAGGTTGGGTGGAGAGCAGCGGCTGCCTGTGCACTCCATGTCCTCCGCCACTGCCACTCCCGTGTGAGCGACCAGCTGGGAGGAGAGGGTTGCAGAGTGGGACAGAGAGAGGAAGGGAGGAGGGGACGGAGGTGTGGGGGAAGTGGACGGAGGTGTGAAGGGGGAGCAGAGGAGTGGGAAGGGAAATGAGGAAAGAAACATGGACGAGTGAGTAAAGCGAGAGCGAAGACTGGAGAGTGTGAAAAACGATGTGCATTGGAGTGGATGAATGGATTGCTGCTGCAGTGGCACACCCAAGAGACCTCATATCAGCTGAACCACACTGAATCAAATACCTGAGGCTTTACCAGCGACTTGTACCTGTTACCTTGGGGAGGGAGGCCTCTTGAGTGTGATAAAGCGCAGCAGGGAAAAGAGAATGATGGATGGTGCAAGCAAGACACGAAAGGCAACACAAGCGCAAGGGTTGGGAGTAGAGGAGGCAGCGAGGGTACTTAGCTGTGTGGGCTGGGCTTGCTGTTTGTGCACTCCATGTCTCACCCCATACTCTCCCTCCTGCTGCCCCCCTGCTTCCCTCCTGCCGCCCTCTGCCTCCCTGCTACAGCCTCGGTTGCACTAGGCACTGAGAGGGGGGGGGAGAGGGGGGGGGGGGGGGGGGTGGGAGGGGCGCAGGGATTAGGGGACAGCAGTGGGCATGGGGAGAAGAGCAGGCAGACGCGTGAAGGTACGGAGGGAGCAAGAGAGTGAAGTGAGAATAGGGAGAAGTCCAAGCAGCAGCACGAGTGAAGGGAAGAGGCAAGAGGCTCACCTCGTTCAGGAGACCCAAACCCAATACTCTCCCGTCCCATCCCAGCCGAGTGGAGTGTTGCCCCCTCCCCTCCCACCACTGCCACCTGCACGGCCACAGGGGAGAGGCGTGAGGGAGCGTCGGTGTTGACCCCACGCCCCTCCCCTCCACCAGCAAGGCACAGACACAGAGCAGCAGTGAGTGCGCATGGAATGGCCACAAGCACAAGGGAAACACCAGAAGCTGCCAAATCAGGAAGATAGGAGGGGCCACTGATGGAAGCACGGCCACAAGTCACAGACCCAAGGGAACCTGAAGAGAGTACCTGCACCTGAGGGGTATACCTGCACCTGAGGGGGTTACCTGCTCTAAGGGGGTCTGTGGCATGTGAGCCGGCCCAACCAGTGGCACTGTTTCAAAAAGAATGGCGGAAGCACAAACAACAAACAAAACAATAGAAGATATGGGAGGAAGGGGCACTTAGCTGATGGCGTGAGAGCAGCAGGCAGTTGAAGCAGCGTGGGCGGTTGAAGGAGCAGAGGCAGCAGGCATGGCATGGCGTGTCCCACCCACTGCAGCCCGGCTCGTGCGCTGCTCAGAGCAGGGCTGCAGGGGGAGGGAGGGGCGGGAGGTAAGGTGACGGGGGTGGAAGGTAAGGGGATGGGGAGGGAGGGGAGGAAAGGAGGAGCATTAACGGGCAGTGATGGGAGAGGGAGGCAGCAGCAGGGAAGGGAATGCATGAATGCGAGGTGAGACGGAGGATGAGCGGAAGGAAGGCCATTGGTGGAGCAGCCGTCACAAAGCCACACACCCACGAGAAATACCTGGGGGAAAATTACCTGAAAAAAACCTGGGGGGGGCTTTACCTGCAGTAAGAAAGGCGTGTGTGCTGTACCGTGTGCTGCCAGCAGTGGCCTCGATTTGATGAACGAATGAGGGAGAAGGGGAGCGGGGCATGATGTGGGATGCTAGGACGGGTGCACTAAGAAGCAAGCACTTATCTGCCGATGTGGTTGCCTTGTGCTGCCGCCAGGTGCTTGACACATGGGGGCGACGGTGATGCTGCCTGCGGTGCTTGCCTGCTTGCTGCCCCCCGTCCAGCAGCCCTACTCCTTGAACCCGAGTGACCTGCACAGGAGAGCAGCGCGGAGGAAAGGAGGCTAGAGCACGGTGAGTCACAGCAAGGCGCGTGAGGGAACAGTGGTGACCCCCACGCCCGCCCTCTCCAAGTGCGTTGCAGTGCACACGAGCAGCACTGGTGAGAGAGCATGGAGGGAGGAGAGGAAGGGCGAATGGCAGGTGAGAGGAGTCACGCAGCACGGGGAGAGAGGAGCCACCAGTTGGGACACAGCGAGCACAATCCACAGACCTCAAGAGGAACCTGCCTAACCATAAGGGTGCACCTGAGGGGGGCTTAACCTGAGGGGGCTGAACCTGAGGGGCATACCTGCAGTAGAAGGTCCGTGGCTTGTGAAACGGGCCCCAACCAGTGGTGAGATTTTGAAGGAGACACAACGGAAGCGCAGGTGAGCAAGCATGACGTGCGTTTAGGGAGGGGAAGGTACATAGCTGAGTTACTTAGCTGAACTGAAGCCGACGATCTGCTGAGGATGGGATTAGCCACCCTTGATGCGCGAGCTTCATATAAGTTGCTCGCGAATGGCACTGTGGCAGGAAATTGACCTGCGAAATGAATTTGGGACATTGATGCGCGCAGATGAGTCACGGATTCGAAACACGGAACTGTAACGCGAGATGGATCCGCCAAGACGATTTGCAGACATTGCGACTGTAATACGGGCTTATATGAAAACGCCCTTAAAAAAACACAATAAAGACCCGGGCTTATAAAAGAATGCCCACAAAAGGGTCAATAGTAGGCTTATAAAACGCCAAGAACACACACACATAACAGGGACTAGTCCTAATAGTAGCCTCAAGTCTTGGAGGCTTGGTAGGTGAAACCTTGGAAGAGAAAATGTAGCTTCACCAAGAAGATAGTAGATGCTTGGAGCACTTGTGAGGGAAAAGTCTTGGACTTAGAAGTAAAATCCCATTTCCATTTGGTTAATTGGAAGTTGGGAGTTGAGAAATGAGCTTGGTGAGCTCAATCCCCCCCTAGACCTCCTTGGGGAGCTCCACTTCCTCCATGGCAACAAGGGCAAGGAGCTCCTTGGGGTGAGCTTGCTTAGGTGGCACAATGGTTGGATTAACAACCAATGAGAGCAATAGAATTGTGATAAGAATGGTTATGTTACATGTTGTAACTTGTAACAACAATGTTCAATTGTCATTGGTTGGAATTCCAACCAATGTGGGGTTGGGTTGGATTCCAACCATGCTTGTCTTTTAGTGGGTGGTTGTTCACAATTGTGGACCAATCACCACTCATCTCCTCCATCCTCTTCTTCCCGTAAGTCGATACCTTGCTTAGATAGTGCTTTAGCTAGGAAACGCTCGTAGGGTAGGAGGGCGATGCGTTACACTCCTCCCCCTCCAGTTGGCAACGTCCCCGTTGCCTTGGAGTGCTTCTTGGGGCGAGTGCTGCGAGCACGACGCACCACGTTACGGCCAGGGTCAACACCATCCACTGGCTGCGGGGCTGCTCGGAGAGCCAAGTCTTCCATGTAAGCTTGAACTGCTGTTTCAGTCAAGTGTTCCTCTGGCTCCCAAGAATTGTGTTCAGGCCCATAGCCTTTCCACTTAATGAGGAACTCACGTTTTGTTTTACGGCCGCGTTGTCGATCACGGTGCATGAGCACACGTTCGACTTCATAATATAGTTCCTCACCTAGGACGATGGTTGGTGGTGGTTGGTATGTGCCTTCGGCAACATATTTGTTTAACAGAGACACGTGGAAGACGTTGTGCATCTGCAAGGTATCTGGTAGCTTAAGCTTATAAGCCACCTCCCCAACCCGCTTGATAACCTCGAATGGCCCAATCCAACGAGGAAACAGCTTTCGTGCCCCAGGTAGTTTGAGTCGAATGTTTTTCGTACTCAATAATACCTTGTCTCCTTCTTGAAAAGAGACGTCCCGGCGTTTCATGTTAGCATAAGACTTTTGGCGTTGTTGGGCAAGTTGCAACCAACGACGAGCAGACCTAAGCGCTTCTTGCTGCTTGCCAATAAAGTCCTTAGCGGCTGGAATTTTCAAGCCACTGACCCCATGCGTAGCAGGTGTTGTGGGGTGCCGACCGCAATTTAAGATGAAAGGTTTTTCGTGGGTGCTCTCATGCACCGAGTTGTTGACAGCAAACTCCACTACTGGCAACAGCTCATCCCAGTCATCTTGTGTTGGGCCAATAAACGAACGAAGCATTTGTTCAAGAGTGCGATTTGTGCGCTCGGTCTGCCCATCCGTTTGAGGATGGAAAGCAGACGACATCTTCAGCTTTGTCCCCAGTGTCTGAATGACCTCCTGCTAGAAACGGCTTGTGAAATGAGGGTCTCGGTCAGACACTAGCACACGGGGTAAACCATGTAAACGAAAGACATGTGCCACAAACAACTTGGCCGTATCTTCCGCTGATACGTCAGTGGTTGTAGGCACGAAGTGCACCATCTTGGTCAAACGATCTACGAAGACGAGGATCGCTGTATGACCATCTCGTGTTTTAGGGAGGTCAGTAATGAAATCCATTGACACACTCTCCCAGGGTTCATCAGGGATTGCAAGTGGTTGAAGCAAACCACCGGGTTTTTGTGTGCTCGGTTTATTACGTGCACACGTGTCGCAGCGTGTAACAAACTGCTGGACTTCACTGCCCAACCCTGGCCACCAGTATACGTCAGACAATGCCCATCGGGTTTTCTTAACTCCGAGGTGTCCACTGTATTTACTGGCATGCACTTCTCGTAAGATGTCATTCCGCAGGTTCCCCACATGTGGTACAACAATTTCTTTTCCATGCCACCAGAGCTCATGCTCCCACGAGAGATCCTTCGTATTCTGTGGGTTCTGAAACCAGGAATCAATCGGATAGCCTGTGCGGATTCGTTTCAGAAAACCACTGAAGGTAATCTCACTGGCTCGGGCGACAGCGAGGATGCCAAAGTAAGCTGCAAAGACGGCAGCATGTTCGGTGTCCTCTAGCCCGTTTGCTGCCCCTATCGGCTGTCTGCTGAGGGGATCAGCCATGTTCGTCGAGCCTGCCCGATATCGAATATCGTAGGTGAATCCGCTAAGGAGTTCAGCCCATCGGGCTTGGCGACGAGTGAGGGTGGCTTGGCTGGAAAAGTAGGTGTTTGGACAATGGTCAGTTGTGACAACAAAGTCCACACCTTCCAAGTAACATCGCCATGTTCGTAGCGCATGGACGACTGCCAACAGTTCTTGTTCGGAAGTCGTATAGCGCTGCTCTGCCGGGAGAGCTTTCTACTCTCGTATGCCACAGGGCGTCCTTCTTGCAGGAGGACTGCGCCAATCCCTACTGTTGAGGCGTCTGTGACTACCTCGTAGGGTTTTCTTGGATCTGGTAATACCAGAACGGGAGCATTGGTCAACTTTTGTTTGACCGCTTCAAATGCCTGTTGGCATTGTCTGGTCCATTCCCACGCGGTACCCTTTCGAGTAAGTGCGGTCAATGGTGCAACAATGGTGGAATAATTCTCCAAGAAACGGCGAAAATAATTGGCTAAGCCCAGAAAGGACCTGACTTGACCCACGTCTTGTGGAACGGGCCAGTTCTCAACAGCCACCACTTTCTTGGGATCGACTTTCAATCCACTGTTCCCCACGAGATGTCCCGGATATTCTAGTTCGCGCTTATAGAAGTGACACTTCCATAAGCGAGCATAGAATTTGTGCTCTCGTAGTTTGTTTAACACCCATTTTAGGTGTTCTGTGTGCTCCTGTTCGGTCTTGGAATATACCAGTATATCGTCAAGGTAAACCAGGACGAACTGGCCGATTGCCTCACGAAAGACATCATTCATCGCCCTCTGAAAAGAGGCCGGTGCGTTAGTGAGACCGAAGCTCAGCACACGCCATTGAAAATGTCCAAACGGCGTGCGAAACGCTGTTTTGGGTACATCGTCGTTGGTGATGCGCAACTGATGGTACCCCTGTGCGAGGTCCAATGCGCTAAACCATTGGGCACCCTCGAGGCGATCAAACAGATCCTCAATGCGAGGCAGCGGATATCTGTTTTTAATTGTGATCTTGTTTAAGGCGCGATAGTCGACGCACATGCGTAGGCCTCCGCCCTTCTTGTTAACAAACAAGATTGGTGCTCCGTATGGTGACGCGCTTGGTTCAATCCATCCCTTTTTCAGATAATCCTCGATTTGTTGCTTAGCCTCTTCGTACTCAGCTGGACTGAGGCGATACAGAGGTCTAAACGGTGGTGCCTTCCCAGGCTCCACTGGAATGGTATGACCCACAGCGCGGTCTGGGGGAAGTCCGTCAGGAATTGGTTCGAAAACCTCCTTGAATTCCTCCGCCAGAGCCTTCATCTGAGGAGGGAAATCCTCGATCTCAGAAGACGATTGTGTGGTTTCTTCTAGCTGTACCACAAAGAGTGTATCAGCTGATTTTGCATCTTGCCCAAATTGATTTGCAAGGGCGAACTGAGCGTCGGGGCGATCGGAACGTGGGACATCAACAATGTTTACATCCCCTAAAACATGCCACCGAACCACAACACCATTCTTAGCAAAAGTTACTGTGTTGTGTTGAAAGTCAAGGATGACCTCATTGGCTCGAAGCCAGTCCATTCCGAGAACAAGATCTACGCCTGCTAGTAATGGAAGGACGTAAAAATTAATGGTCTCGTGATAGCCTTGAATTTCCATATTGATACGTGTCTGCCCTTTGCTTGGGATGACGCGATCGTCACCAAGACGAATGGGGCAAGACGGCCCTTCAACGAGGACCCCACGACTTGTGGCTCTGTTTTCATCGAAGAGAGACACAGTCGCGCCCGTATCAACAAGAATTTTTGCTTCATCCCCGTCTATTCGACCCACCAGCAATAGGTTTTGCTGATGTTTTGGTCGAATGGGGCATGCAACGATGCGAGTTGGTGGGAGATAATAAGCCTTGACGTTGTGCTTTGCTCGACCATAGGATCGACTGTTAGGCCACCACATGTGATATCCCTTGTCCCACGCGGCAAGTACTGTCCATCCCTTAAGCAAGGGGAAGTGTTTGCCTTTGATGGTTCGAGTCACCAGACTGACCGAAGTCAATGGGTGCTCCTGGGTGCAACGACCCACTAGGTCCATTACGGAGGGCAATGCATCTACGTTGCAGCAAATGACAGAGAACTTATCTCTGAGTGTTTCGATAGATAGTTGTGTAAGTGGGTGCAATCGAGGTAGGAAAACAGAATTTTCATTCAAAGAAGAAGCAAACAAACAAGAGATTTTGCACTCAGCAAGTTTCTCTAGCTTTAATAGATCATCGTCACGAAGGACGGAAGCTTCATCACCTCGATCTACGTGTCCAGCTAGGTACCCACAACCTAGTTGGACTTGGGAAAATCCTGACGCGAGCCTGAAGGTCCATCTCCCTTCTTGTTCGCCTGCTGCGGC